CATTGCAACATTTATTGGTTTTGAAATAATATAATCATAGAAAATTGCTCTGATTTTATATTTTATGTTTCATACTGAAAGTAGGCAAAGTAATTTCTAAGCAGTGGGTCATTATCATTTACAATTGCTCAGAGGTTAGGATTTTAACTGCTGATATATTTTTATTTGAAAAATAATAGACGTTATTCAATGCCTAAAGATAAATTGCTGCATAGCTGTGACTTTTTTTTTGCTGACAACTTTGCCCTAAACAAATTTAGTTGTCATGAAAATACATTTCAAAATTAGTTTAATAGGAGTAAAAATCTGAATTAAAATGTTCATACATTTCCTCAGTCATGAACTAAGATTAGTCAAGGTTTATTTCCAATGTATAATCAAAGCGAATTCAGTCTGATGCAAACATCTAAGACAGTTCATGACAACCCTTTAGAAAATTCCTCACTGGCTGTTGACTATACCATATTTATCACAGGTAATTTTGAAAGGTACAAGCATTGCCCACCTCAAGCACAGGCTTTAGAATGCAGGAAGCAGCTGGAAACTATCTCTCCCAAATGTATACCTCCAGCTCTGTGGTCACCACAGAATTCTGGATGCCCCCTTCGGTGTCTAAAAGGCATCACAAGTGTAACAGAACCATAATTTCTAATCAACCTCAATGAGCAAAACCCAGTCCTGCTCCACTCCCAAGATTTTTTTTTTTACTTACTGAAACAATTATCCCACCAGACCTAGATATTATTCTTATTCTTTCTATCACCTCAATTTCCAATTGATCACCATTTCTGATAACTCCACTTTCCATGAAATCTAAACCTATCCACTTCTCATATTATCCACTCTTATTCTAACTTCAATCACCATGATCTGCCTGGATAACTTTCTTCTACTCTTGCTCTTTCAAGGTCCATTTTCCATAGTGAAACCAAAATTATTTTTATAATACAGTAATTAACTTGTATCATCCTCTTTCCACAGTCTTTAAGGGTTTCCCACTCAACTTAGTACAAAATCTAAACTACCTGCCAGACTTCCTCAATCCAGTTTGCATTTGTCTCCTTCCTTCACTTAGTATGTTCCAGCCACATGGGTTTGTTTGCTCTCGGAATGCAGTAAACCTATCTGTGCAGTAAGTCCTTTATTATTTCCTCTGCCCCAAACACAGTTCTCCCAGATTTCCCAGTGACTTCTTTCTTCCTTTCCTATGTTTCCTCATTCAGTATCAACCCAACCACCTCCCTTTGCTTGGCCTCCACTAGTGCAGTCTTCTCAAGTACCTTTCCCCACTTCATCCCGTCTTGTTTCCTGTATATTTGTCAGCTGCATTTCTAGTTGGTGTTTGTTTAATTTTTCTTAGAATGCAAACCCATGAGAGTAGGGTTGTGTCTGCTTTGTTTACCTCTCTCACCTCAGTGCCCTGTGCAGGACCAGGCCCACAGTGGGACCTCCATAAGTATTAGTTGAATATTTTGAATAAATGAGCTAATAAGACATTTAAAAAGTGGCATTTACAAAGTGAAACCCCTATCCACTTGTTTGGTGACTCTAATTGCAAAGGTTACAGGGTAGCAAATGAGGTGCAGGTCAATGTCGATCCAAGAAGAAAAGTATTTGGAGGCTAATGTATGAAGCCAATTTTTGCTAATAAACATGGCTGCCTTATTTCCATATGCTTATATATGAAAAAAATGGACAAGAGGGACACTTGCTTATCCCTATGATGAGAGATGCTATTTTCATGGTACACTTTACCAAATGCGCTTAATATCCCTTACAATAAAATATAAACTCATTTTTTACCGCAAACACAAGGAACCACCTAAGTCTGCAGATGACATTATGAAATATACTCCAACTTCTACTCCCTCCCTTGTCACAAACTGACTCCCAATTAATAAATTCTCACTTATAGGACACAGTTTCCTGAGCCTTTTCACACCTGACACTGTGGTGAGTCCTTTTAACTATCCCTTAATATTGGCAGTACTATAGCCACCCCTGCCAGGGGACACACATATGATCAGCAGTCAGAACTCTGGTAAAATCAAAAACTTCTCTTCATCTCTAGGAGAGCTGGCTTAGGGAAGAACATGTTCTAAGACTTTAAGGTGAATATTTTAGTGATACCTGTACAAACTAGACTTCTTGCTATCCTCTGTAAAAATCTAAATTTCAATCAGATCATCCCAGTAGACTTTTAAAAGGTAGACTTCAAAGGTAGAATTTTATATGACATTTTCTTGTAGCCCTGGAATAAAGCTTAAGTATGAATAACTGGAGATCTTAACACTAATATTAAGATAAAGAACGGGACTCAATTTAATACAGGAGCTTAAAAAATGAGATTGTTTCCCTTTGTCACTTTTAAAAAGAGGTGGTTTTGAAATCTTTGAAACAAGAAGAGGAAAATGTTATGCTGAATGGGTCACATCAGTGAACCCTTCTCCTGAGAGTTGTTATAAACCCTATCCTTTGAGTATCTACTTATTTCTTTGTGAATGTGTTTTCTTATATCATACACTCTCCCCTATGGCAACTCCATCATTATTACCTATAGCAGGGCATTCCATCTGTTTTCATAATGTCATATGTTCCATAAAATAGTTGAGATGCACACCACCTGACACATATATTTCTGTATTTATAAACTATGTGTATGTGCTATTGCACTGTTACACATTTAATACCCATTCCTACAACCAAAAAAAAAAGTTAACAGAATGATATAGAATACATACATTACACAAAAAGTTCTATCTTTCTCTCCAGACCTCCTGTAGATCAGCTTGTGCACTCTCTGGGGAATGCTTACCCCACTGTAGAGACTACTGTGAATTTACTGTGTCTCATTGAGAGGAGCAGATTTTATTCAGCTCTTCTGATTTTATGATGAATTGTGCATTAGAGTTTTTGAATAAGTTTGATCTACATACCATATTATATTGCATGATGCCATGGGGGTGCCACCTAGACCAAGGAATTTCTTCCTTCAGCTCAGATAATACTGTTGGCTGCTGATGACTCAGAACTGAGTTAATACTACCACCATCCACCCAGTAGCCCTTATCCAATGAAGGTTCAACTGGGGGGGATAAAGACACAACTCCTTGTCTCAATTCAGGACAATCTGAAAGGGCCCTTCCAGTTCCAGAGTTCCTACTGGATTCAGATGAGGCTTCTGTTACAGATACAGTACAGTTACTTGCTCCCTCTGCACAGTCCTACTTCCTCCAGTCCCTCACAAATTGCAAAGGTGCTCTGCCATAGATCTCCTGTATGCAAATCTATGTTCTGTGTTCCAGAGTCCCTTCCTGGGGAACCCCAACAATGACACATAGATTTAGAAATCTAGTTTGCTTATATGTCAAGTTCCAAATAGATTGTTTATTGAGCCACTAAGAAACTCAAGAATTAATGCAATATTCTAAGTTTTCCTAAACCCTCATTCATTTCTTACTGAGTCAAAATTAATTTTAACTGGACTCTGTGTTTCTCATTATGGGAAGCAAGGTTTCAAAAATTTGGCAAGAAGAATGAACTCCCTCCTCCTGAGTTCCTGAGTAATAGTCCCTGATGGACTCAATGTCATTGCTGCTGAGGGCAGCAGCCTTTCTCCAGACTGACCTCAGCCATTCTGCCTCAGCTTCTGGTCAAGCTCCTACTCTTCACTCTGGCCCCTCCTTCACTATCACTTGAGCTCCTGACCCAATCCCAAGATACTCATTTCCAAGAAACATCTCAACACTTGGCCCACCGGAAGTGTAAGGCACCTACCAACTTGCCTTACTTTGGACATTTGTCTGAGAGAACTGGCTGAATTCACTAGAGGCCTTGAGGTTTGTCTCACTAGTAGTTGTGACATCATTTGCTCTTACATTTTTCTCAAAGGAAGTTATTTTGGTTCTGCCTCCCCTGGGAGAGGTCTATTTTCCTAATATAACAGTCATAAAGTAAACAAAGTAGCCATTATCATTGACACCTGGATGGTAGAAATCCATGGTTTTGGACACAGGCCACCATGCCCTACTTATATAAACTTTGCTCAAGATACAGAGACTCTCATAAAAATAGGATTATAAGAACTGGCTCCACATAAACTTAACTTTTTCAGAACAATCATGAGAAACATACCAGTGACTCTAGAATACTTTAATATCAATAAAAACTCAGTATTATGCTTAAGTATAGTTTCAGATATATAATAATATAATGCTAGAAGTATCAACTGTACATACACAGTTTTGCTTAGAAAAATGTGCATATATAAATTGTTATATGAAGAGCAATAACTAAAAAATAGTCCTTCTCACCTGAAACCCCAATAGATGTAGAATGAAGGGTAGTCTTTATAGCATGTAATATAATATTTATTTCTGACTGATAGAGTAGTTCAATGAAATATTATTTAGATATATACTGTGCCATATATTGTTCACATGCAGTATTGTTCATTAGGTTGAATAACATTATTAAGTATAAAACAAGTATTTCATAAACACTTAGAATATGCAATAATATATAAAAGGTGATACAGAAAATAAGTACAAGAAATGCGTATTTTTTCATTTATGACAACTTTTGCTGAAAATGTGGCAAAACGCCTTAATAGAAAGGCTCAGAGACTTACCTGGAAGGTGAGGTTGGCATCTCCCATGCTCTGCTATGTGTTTTCTTTAAAGTCAGTTGTTCTAGTGTCTAAAGGTTATTATTGGAGATGAAGCTCATCCTGAAAGTCTCCTTATTTATTAGAATACTGAAGTCAGGGCCCCTTTTCACAGACACAGATTGCCCACCCATTAAAATATTGTAGCACATTGACTTTATATGAAAAACCACTCAACCAAATATTTCTAAAACCTTAGATTCAAAGAAGTTATTCAAATACTCAATTGTAGGTAGGATTATCAGATAGGATTAACAAGCCTATCACATGCAATGGCAAGCAATCACTTATTATTTACCACTGAGAATACCAATAAGAGAGGACCAGAACTTACCTGAATAACATGCTTCAGTTTATCAATAATCTGATTTATCACAGGATCAGTTCCCTTGACTTTGACTTCAGGATTCCCAGACTGGGCTTTGATTCCATTTCCAACCACACGCTGAGTATAACTAACAAAGTGAACAGCGAAAGATATATGGCTTAGTCACCTGGTCAGAGTATTATCTGCTACAACTATTTGAACAGATCTGAGTTCGGCATATCACTCCTTTGAGAGTATACAACAGTGTATTTTTTTCTTGGAACAGAACCTGGTAGAGATTGCAGTGCTTTTCCCGGAAGAATGTGTAGCATGGAAATGTAAATTATTTTAATGCGTTACCCTCAAAGGACACAACCAAAAATTAATTGTGTTTTTTAATATTATTTACCAATATGCTAGAAAAAGTTAATATACATTTCACCTTGTTACCAATTCTTGCTGACTTACACTCTGTCTGAATCCATGTTATCTGGGTCAATTTACTTCATTTTACACAGTATATGATAAGTCCCAATAATTTTTTTACATATTACACTACAAATGAACTATAAATGTATATCAATTGCATAAGTGAAAATCACAATTATTATAAGTAAACAAATAATACAGGCATACTCTTTTGCAAAAAGAGAAAGTGCAATCTGCTTTTACCAAGGTTCACCTAATGGTGAACTACAAGAGTCTAGCAAATCATCTATAACAATAAAAGCATAATATGCTAATTAGACCGGACATCCTTCTGGACAATCTTCCTGACTAAGCTGGGGCTGTGGGGGAAGCCTGGGTCCTGGGTGCCTGCTGGCAGCTGGAGAGAAGCCCAGGTCCCAGGTGCCAGTGGCCAGAGGGAAGCCCAGGTCCCAGGTGCCAGAGGGAAGCCAGTGCCAGCAGCTGGGGGAAGGAAGGCCTACTCTTGCTCGAATTTCATGCATTGGGCCTCTAGTGTTGTATAAAAAGCGATTGCACAAGCAGTGAAATTCATGGCAAGTCACTACCTCTCCAAAATGACAATCATATAATTTAAATCAGGTATTCATACAAATATTTAAACTCATCAGTCACAAAAATGTATTAAGTGCCTCCTACAATATTCAAATCCTATACTAGGTGACTGGGATCATAAGAAGTTATAAGACTCAATGTTTGTCTCACAATGCTGATCTGGGAATATAACGTATCAATTAACTTGTACATTCATACATGCATTCATTACATTTTACTATATTTTAGAAATACCTACTAGTAAAAGGTGAAAGATTTATGTGATCTGAAGAGAAACCAGAGCCCATCAGCAGATGATTGGATTAGAAAACTGTGGTATATCTACACAATGGAATACTACGCTGCGGTAAAAAAAAGAAAGAATTCTTACCATTTGCAACAGCAGGGATGGAGCTGTAGAGCATTATGCTAAGTGAAATAAGCCAGTCAGAGAAAGGTAAAATATCACATGATCTCACTCGTGTGTGGAATATAATGAAAAACATAAACTCATGAACAAAAATAGATCCAGAGACAGAGAAGCATCGATCAGACCGTCAAACCTCAGAGGGAAGGTAGGAGAGGGTGGAATTAAGGGGCAGGGATCAACCAAAGGACTTGTAAGCATGCATATAAATCTATCCAATGGACACAGACACCAGGGGGGTAAGGACATGAGTGCAGGTGGGGGTGGGGGGCAATGGGGAGATAAGGACACATATGTAATACCGTAATCAATAAAGAAGAAAAAATAGAATGAGGTAAGAAAAATACCTACTAGATTCTAGCAGTGTAATCATTCTTACTTTCCTGACAGTATGGTGCAGTATAAGGACAAGAGAACAGTTATAGTATAACATGAGGAATGACTGAGATGCTCAGTGTGCCAAGGGGAAAGCTGGAAGGAACAGCATATATCAAGTGACACTTAGAGATAACACAGCTAGCAGACACTGAGCATATGGACACGTCTATTTGGACTAAGATGATTTGGGGAAGAACTAAAGAAGTTGTAACTTGAGGTGGCCCTCAAAATATTATGGTAAGAATAGGTCTTAGATGGTGTGGTTAATGCAGACTTCAGTGCAAAGGAAGACAACCCAGTAGGGGAGATGAGAAAGGCACATGACTAATGCACAAAGGAAAGAATAAGTTGGCTTCTACTTATAAAGGGAGAGTAAAATGAGCAAAAGAAGGAGATTGGAGGTCATGCCCTAAAGAGTCCATCCTCTATGTTTAAGATTCTCTTCTGGATAAATTTGCTTACATTCAAGTATCATAATAAAGTGGCCTCACAGAATTTTCAACATTTTCACATGATTTTTACTGTAATTTTTCTTTCCTCCATTTGCAATTATTCACATATGCCCTCTGAATTTTCTAATGCCATGAAAATTCTTTAAAAAGATAAAAGGAGTTTCCACTGTTGAGAAAATGACCTTACAAAAGGAGTTTCAAAAGGAGTTTTTCCCATGATTATGCACACCCAAGGACCAATTTTAAAAAGTGGATCAAACAATTCCCAAGTATGTCCTTGTAATGATGATAAATGATGAAACTCTTTGATATTATCAATTGGACATAACAAACGTAATTCTATTAATATGTCTTTGTATTTTTAATGTGTTTATATCCTCTCCCAGGGATATGTTTATTGATGAGAGAGAGAGAGAGAGAGAGAGAGAGAGAGAGAGAGAGAGAGAGAGAGAGACGAGATGGCTGCCTCCCATATGTGCCCCAACCAGGAATTGAAACCACAATCATTTGGTGTACAAGACAAAGCTCCAACCAACTGAACCACCTAACCAGGGCAGGTCTTTTTTTATTTTTAAAACAATTAAAGCCATTATTTATGCAGAAATACAGGGGGTTAGAGTTTGGCATTCCACTATGCATTAGGGACTCGGCAATAAATTGGGAAATAAAAAGAAGGGAAATAATTATTCATATGCTATAAATGTGTAATAATATTCTTAGTTAGGAAAAATGAAGAAAACTGTAAACAGCAGGCTTTTCAACACCTCTGTCAAATATTTCAAGCAGACTGAACATGTGGCTCCTTTATTAATTCAGTGATTATTAATAATGATGAATAATATGAATAAATAAATTGATAAATAAATATTGATTCAGATATTATTTTAATTACTTTCTTGGGAGTTTGCCAATTCATCTTCATGATAATCATTTGTTGTGACCATGAGAATGTGCCTCAAGACCTCTAAGTACAGGACATTTAATTGCCTAAAGAGCACCTGCTGTTTTCTTCTGTAATCCATTTCTGCAACTGCCCCAGCCAATGACAGAGTGCAGCAGGGATTCTAAAGCAGTTCCATCACTGAAAGACACAGGCCTCCTCTGGTGGCCAGCTTTGGCTCAGGACTCCCTAAAGCTCTCGCTCTCCCTTCCTTAGGCTGAGCAATATGCTGAAGACTTGCACTCGGCCTTGTCCTCCACTCCCTTCACTCTGGGTCACTCTTGCGTCTCGACCAACAGCTAGGTCTTCCAGACTTACTCAGTTTTTTTCCCCCTCATTTTCTCTCAGAGACTTTTCCCTTAATAAAATCCTCTTGTGTTTAATCTCTTCTTGGCATCTGCTTCCTGGAGGACCCAAACTAATACAACATATAATATACGTTCTAGAATTATTCCCATCCTACAGGTCTGAGATCTGAAGAGGTTACTAGTAAGTAACTTTCGCAAGGCAACACTGTTGGTTAAGTGTGCAGCAAGGATATGAACCCAGTAAATGTGAACTCCGAAATGCAATCACTCAAATAATTAGTAATGAAAATTCCTGAACCCAACTAATATAAATTAGAGATACAATTACCTTGGTGCAAAACATTGTTGTTGCTGTCTATTAGTAGTAGATGATGATGATGATTATTATTATTATTATCATTATTATTTTCATTTTGCTGTAACTATTTTTTCAAAGGTGTCCCTGATTCTAATTAAGAAGAAAGATGCTAATTTCTTCAAAAATCTCCTCAACAAACAGTTGTATATTACTAGCTAAAGAGTGAAATGGCAGGGAGAAAAGAAACTAACAGACTTCAAGTTTGCCATAACTTTTTTCTATGTTTCTCTAGAAACACAGACATAATACAAGCAATAGAAACTGAGATTCATCTATTAATTTTAAATAAATGATTACTGGTTCACATCTTGGTTTATTAGGCCACGGAAGTAACTTTTTAACATGCGGAAATGTTGTTTCACATTAATGTAAAGAATTGCTCATTTTTCATTCTTAAATATCATAGTTAATAACATGGAAATGTAAAATTGATCAGAATTACAATTGATCAAGAATCCCTATCCAAGCTAGTATATTATTGAATAAGTCAGGATCATTAATCTTATGTATCATTTAAATAAGGAAAAGTAATTCAAAGAAGAGCATTTAAGATACTTCAAGTAAAATATAATTTAATAAAACTAGTTATTCTTTTCTACTTTTGTAAGGTTAAGAACCATAATGGAATAGTGATAAACACCAGAGTGACATAAGTGAAAAAGAAAAAAAAAAAAAAAAAAAACAGTTGTGGAGGCATTGGGACCTTCTCTCTTTGTGGATGAAGTGTAAACGGATCTAAACTATTTGGCATTATGCAAAAGCTGAACAGATCATATGACCCCAGGTATATACTGAACAGGTATAAGAATCATCAAAAAAGTATTATTTAAAGTAACCCCAAACTGGACACAACTCAAATGTCCATAAGCATTAGCATAGGCAAATGAATGGTAGTATATATCTATATAAAAAGCCAGTGACCAGAACGCCATAACAACCAGAATGACCCATCACTATGATGCCCACTGCAGCCAGCAAACCGGCCCAATCAGAGGGTGGGGCCAGCTGGCCAACCTCCCTCAGCCCCTCACCCCAGCCATCCCCTGACCATCCTTTCCCAACCCAATGGAGGGCAGGGCAGCCAGTCAACCCCCGCTACAGCCCTTACCCCCGGCTGGTGCCACCCCCAATTAGCCAACCCCACCCCGATTGGCCCACAGCCCCTCCCCCCATCTTGCTCCACCCCTGATCACTCCCAACTCCATTAGGGGGTGGGGCCAGCTGGCCAACCTTCTAAAGCCCCTCGCCCCAGCCAGCCCTGCCCTGATTAGCCCTCCCACCCCATT